ATGTACTCACCACCAACCTCCCTAAACATAATGTACTCACCACCAACCTCCCTAGACATGATGTACTACTCACCTTCTCCTCCGCGCCCAACACACCCGCAAACACGAGGTACTCACCATCTCCTCAGTGTCCAACACCTCCCTAAACATGATGTACTACTCACCTTCTCCTCCGCGCCCAACACACCCGCAAACACGAGGTACTCACCATCTCCTCAGTGTCCAACACCTCCCTAAACATGATGTACTACTCACCATCTCCTCAGTGTCCAACACCTCCCTAAACTCCTCCAGAACCTCCACCCAGATAGACGACAGAATTCTCTCAAAGTTCGTCTTCAGGAGGTTCGAGTTGAGGGTCAGCAAGTTACTGTCCAGGTATTCCAGCAAATCACCAACAGCCTAAAAAAGGAATTGTAGTTTTTAATATTTTACGTCCCCGTCGAAACTATTTAGATCGTATTTAAGAGGCAGGCTGTTTCAGCCATTCCTGACAGTGTCAACCGAGGCTGAGATGGATACAACATCCCATTAGACAGACTGACACAAAGACTTCTGCATACCAGAAGGTAAATCTTACAGTTTTTAACCAAACAATTTTATTTCTCAGGCACTCTGTATATCACGTTATCCATCATTTGAGTAGGCCATTTCCAGTTGTATGCTTTCGATAATTCTTAAAATGAAATACAGTTATTTAGATTCGTTCCATACATTTTTTATTCCTTCAAATACATACAAAGATGAAACAGTTATTACAGTTAGTGCTCCACTGACTTACAGGAAGTTTGTAGGTCTCGTTTTTGAAAATTTACTTCTATCCTTTCGCATATTATTGAAAAAGTACCCATGAACTTGAATTTACCCCCCCCCCCACTTCTCTCTCAAAACACACATACACTCACTCACTGGATTATTGTCAAAGCAAAGCCATAAAGGAAAAGATGACAATTTGTGCCAAAAAGGGAGATAACGCTTGCTTACCTCTTCCGCCGGAAGTGACTCCGGGGCCCAGTTCAGATGAAACACGTCCTTCTTGATGTCTGGGCGCATCTGAAAACAGAAAAAATGTTTTTAAAAATGATTAAAAAAAGGTTTCAAAATGGTGGGTACATAGTATGTATTAACTGTGAGGTTTATAACACGAGTTCGCATCATGCTAACTGTTTAAACTACTTTTTTGTACATGGATTCATTATGAGGCTAAGACTAGTTTTATTTTTAAAACTCACTCTGTCTACGCTTACTTGAGAGTAGAATTTGACATAAACGGCAGCATATCGGGGTTTGTGGTGTAGTAGTTAGGCACTTTATTTCGTACACATAAGACGTGAGTTCAATACTATGCGGGTAGTTTTCTTTATCAATTAGCATCTCCGTCTTTCTGCTGGGACGTTGTATCTTTTTCAGATGGGTTCGCCCTGACAGACATGGTAAAAAACAACCCGCCTCCTAAATTGGTCTAAATAGTAAATTGGTCTAAATAATGTTGTTGCTGTTGTAAAACACCCAAAATTACAGTTTTAAAATAAATATGATATTTATACAGTGCCCAACTTCCATAAAGGTCACGAGCTCAGAGCGCTTTAAGAAAACAATAGCAGTACATTTACAGTACATTGTGATCTGAATAAAATGTAGATACCTCTCTGTAATCTAAAAACAGGAAAGATTAAAAAAATGATATTTGAAAGAATTCAAATATTTGATTTCTTTTAATTTAAATTACAACGTTCACAAGGCAGTGACCAGCTGATAACTGGCACGATCAGTAGAGCAGATCGTTTCGTGGATCCCATAGAGGAGGGAGGAGCAGCTATGGCATTATGCCGCCTGCAATGATGTCTATTCTCCAACCAAGTAAGTAAGTTAGTTTTACTAGGCAGCGCATTTCAGATCTTGGAGCATTGCTATGCAAGTGCTGTGAGCTTTATACCATGGATGAGAATACTGTGAGCTTTATACAATGGATGAGAATGTTGTGAGCTTTATACCATGGATGAGAATAGAAGTTAGAAGAAGCAGGATTTCCCCCCAGAGATGACCGGTCATCTACTCACCTTGTCTGCCACTCTATCCACCACCTGTCGGATCTTCCTCACCATCTCCTCGTCCGCCTGTTTGATGATGCCCTGGAGAGACGCCTTACCCAGCAGACCGCTGGCTCCTTCCTCCGACGACTGTTGGGAAAAAATATGAATAATAACAAGGGATCACTAATAACAAAATCATCAACAATATCAACAGTATCGGCGTCGCTAGTCTACTACTAGTAAGGCAACCGTACTCGCAATCGCGAGGTTGCGGGTTCAGGGGATTCGAGCTAATTGAGTCCAAAGATGCCTTATAGGGTTCCCTAACTCAGAATTACAAAGTTCTGTATGGCAATTTTTGCCGCTTTGAGTAACTAAGACCGTGAGGTCTGAAAACTAAATCCCCTGTCTGCTCTGTCAAAATCGTAAGATTATTCGCAGTCGTTATCAATATAGATCTATTCAAAGAATTACCTTCGGAAAAACTCGACACATTATGAAACAAAAAAATCTTTAACGTTAGCTTTATCAAAACCAAGTAGGCCTACTGAGCAGATAAAAAAAGTGTAATTCTAGGGTAGCGATATGTACAAATCTACATGAGTATTACCTCATTATCGTCGCGTGCTAGCTCCAAAATGAACGGGAATTAGGTCAGACTGCTCAGTTTTGGATGCCATAATACATGGTCGCTTTTAAGGACAAGCGGACTAACCCAGATTTCGGGGGTTTCCGGAAATCTTGACCTACACCAAAAGTGGGCACTGCCACACCTATAGGAGAAGTTTGGTTTCATTGGTGTGTATATTTGTTTGGTTGTAGAGAAAACTCTCCAAGTCTTTTAAAGAAACTGAACAAGAGGGCAAAAACTTTACCTTCGATTTTCTCATAACAACATTTTTCGGGATTGCCCCCTTGTGCTTAAAAGTTAAAAGCGATCACATAATTTACATATCTATGACATTATCTCATTATGGTCTCGTGCCAGCTCTAGAGTGAAGCACATTTACATCACAAGGCACAATTTTGTGCGTTAAAATATATGCACATGTCTATGAGATTACCTCATAATCATCATGTGATGAAGCGGAATTACGGCAGAGTACATAGTTTTGGATGTGCATGTAAAATCAGGAAAAGATTAATTATGAAGTTTTCGGGACAGCTGAATAGACATAAAGGTCTTGGACATCTAGCTCTCACTGGCAAAATTGAAGGCAAACGAGGCACAGGGAGGCCCTGAGCAACCCAGTTGGAGAAACCAGAAAGATGGGTAGCGGGGAAAGGTCAGAGTAGTGTAGCTTTTTTTATAGAGTACCCCAGCAAAGGAATGGATGGAGAACTATGATCGCCGATGTCTGCTGCAGATATGGCTGATGAAGATGGCGATGAATACACGTACAAAAGTCTCTGACATTACCTCATTATCATCCCGTGCCAGCTCTAGATAGAACCAGAAGTACGCCATAGTGCACAGTTTGGGACAATATGATATTAAAGGTCTATGAGTTTACCTCATTATCATCCCGTGCCAGCTCTAGAATGAACCAGAAGTGCACCATAGTGAACAGTCTTGGATAATATATTAAAAGTCTAGTAATTTACCTCATTATCATCCAGTGCCAGCTCCAGAATGAACTATAAGTCTATGAGATTACCTCATTATCGTCCCCTGCCAGCTCTAGAATGAACCAGAAGTACGCCATAGTGCACAGTTTGGGACAATATGATATTCAAAGTCTCTGACATTACTACCTCATTATCGTCTAGAGCCAGATCTAGAATGAACTATAAGTCTCTGAGATTACCTCATTGTCATCCCGTGCTAGCTCCAGAATGTACTAGAAGTCTATGAGATTACCTCATTATCATCCCGTGCCAGCTCCAGAATGAACTATAAGTAAGTCTCTGAGATTACCTCATTATCATCCCGTGCCAGCTCCAGAATGAACTATAAGTCTATGACATTACCTCATTATCGTCCCGTGCCAGCTCTAGAATGAACCAGAAGTGCATCAGAGTGAACAGTCTTTGATAATATATTAAAAGTCTATGAGTTTACCTCATTATCGTCCCGTGCCAGCTCTAGAATGAACCAGAGGTGCGCCATAGTGTACAGTCTTGGATAATGTGATATTGAAGGTCTCTGAGATTACCTCATTATCGTCCCCTGCCAGCTCCAGAATGAACTATAAGTCTATGAGATTATCTCATTATTGTCCCTTGCTAGCTCCAGAATGAACTATAAGTCTATGAGTTTACCTCATTATCATCCCGTGCCAGCTCCAGAGCCTGCTGTATCTCGCTGAAGTCCAGCAGAGTGGGGAGAGGTTTGAGGGAGCGGCGGACTTGCTCGATGTTGTTGATGGTGATACAGAGCTGGGGACGGGGAGGGGGGGGGTACAGGAGGGGTGGAGAGGGAAGGTGGCTTAATGTTTGGGGTACAAGCGTCTCTCTCTCTGTCTCTGTCTCTGTCTCTGTCTCTGTCTCTCTCTCTCACTCTCTCTGTCTGTCTCTCTCTGGTTGAATGCACGCACGTACGCGCGCTGTGTGTGTGTGTGTGTGTGTGTGTGTGTGTGTGTGTGTGTGTGTGTGTGTGTGTGTGTGTGTGTATCTGTCTTTCTGTCTGTTGCTTATATACACTCACCACATACACAAGCTCTCTCTCTACCCCCCTCTCCCTCCCTCCCTCTCTCTCTCATCACACAAACACACATGCATAACATAATAAATGGTCAGGAAAAATATCCTGGTAACAGACACACCCAAAATCCCCCCCCCCCACACACCTCCACAAATACCTATACACATATAATGTACACAGCACAACCGTCTGTCTCACCTCCTCAGTGACGTCAAACTGCCCCTCGTCGTCATAGTAACCTTTCTCTGTCAGCTTGGTGTGTACCAGGTCCGCGTACAGTTTGGCGCCATTACAGATGTCCTGGGAAAGCGAAGAGTTTAGTTTCAAGATTGTTTTTTTTCTTTTCTGTTTCGTTTTGAAACCAATATCCATGGGTGGTTAGAGGGTGCTCTGGTGTTAGTCAGTGTACAGTAGTCGATACTATTCAATTTAAAACACAAACTGCATGTTTGAATAAAGAGAAGCACATCGACACAATAATGCTCATTTAGTACTTGGAAAAAGTAGGACAAGCAGACAGAAACATCGGAGGGAAAGTAAAGAAGTAGGACCTACTAGAAGTGCCCTCTAACAAACTCGCAAACTACATGTAATGTACC